AAAAAAAAAAAAAAAAAAAAAAAAAAAAAAAAAAAAGAAAAAAGTTCAGGAGCAATTTGGAGATTTCGATGGAAACGTTTTGGTAGCGTTTTAGTTTTAGAGCGGCAGCGAAGAAGCCGGTAACGCAGCTTTGGAAACCTTGAAAGGAAGACGCGCGCGCGAGGCGCGACGTGACGAGACGAGACGAGGAGCAGAGAGGCGCGGTGAGGCAAGGCGAGGCGAAGCGAGTCGACGCACGCAAGGAAGAAGGACGCGAGACGAGGACGAGCGGTCCACGAAACGGCGAGGATCGGCATCGGAATCGGCATCGGGGCACCGTCACCGGCCCCGGCACCGGCATCGGCAGCAAGAGCAAAAGGAAGCGACTGGCTGCTCCTTGGGGAAGGCGAAATGGAAGGCCGGCAAACGAGAAGGCCGAGGGGGGCAGGCGAGGGGCTGCGAGTCCATCAGCCTAAAGAGTGGCTATCGTGCCTGCTAAGGGCTATTCCATGTTAGCCGCTCTCGGCGAGCTCTTTTTTTTTTTTCTTTCTTTCTTTTTTTCCTCCTTTTTATTCCCCTCCTGGACTTTTTGTGAGGCGCAAACGTGGCGCCGCCCTCGAGATCTCCCTTCTCGCGTGGGGAAATACCGCGAGCTTGTATCGCTGTTCTCGTCGTCGTCGTTACGGTTATGGTTGTTGTTGTTGTTGTTGTTGTTGTTGTTGTTGTTGTCGTCGTCGTCGACGACAACTACCGCGGTTATACTTGCTACTTTTTCCATTCGTTTCCGACGATCGCGTCGGTGCAGTAGCAATTTTTTTTGTCCAACTCTATCCGATCGACGATCGTTTTCCGTTTCTCTCGTCGAAACGGGATGTCGATGTCGCGCACAGAAACGAGAACGAGAAACGACGCGTTTGATACACGGCAAGCGGGGAATGTGAAAAGGAGGAGAGACGTTTCTCGGGCTGCTGGATCGTTTGGAATTTAAGGGATGCACCCGACGCGACGTTTCCCTATCGGCGTGGCGCCAACCGGTGCGCGCGTTATCGCCAGCCGCGCGCAGCACCGTTACTCTGACTCGGAGCGTTCGAGCGTTCTGGTCCTCGAAGGAATTCTTTCGGAATCGGATCGGAGTCGCGTCGTCGACCGATCCGAAGCATCGATCGACGACGACGACGACGACGACGACGACGACGACGATTCGGTGAAATACCGTAGAAGGAGGTGCAAACGAGCGACGCGCGACGCGTCCCCATAAATAAGCACGAAGCGCAACAAATTAGATCGCGCGCGATCCCGCGCGGAAACATCGCTTAGCCGGATCGGCGCGTTCGCGATATTTCACGGCCGAGGCACGAGAACGTAAGTTAAGCCTCGTCTCGGCATGTTTCACCTTCCACCCTTCCCTTCTTCGTTCTCGCCGTATTTTCTCGTTCGCCGCCGTCGCCGTCGCCGCCACCGACCACGGCGATTCCTCGTACTCTGCCATTTCTCCTCCTCCCACTCCCTCTCTATCTCTCTCTCTCTCTCTCTCTCTCTCTCTCTCTCTCTCTCTCTCTCTCTCTCTCTCTCTCTCTCTCTCTCTGTTCCCCCGTTTCCTATTCCTTTGCTTTCATCCCGTGGCGTCGATTCACCGTAGGTGTGGTACGCGCGATACCATCGAGCGTCTCCTTCTGGCCAAGCTCTCGCAGTCGCGGCGATTAGGGCTCGCCGCCCCAATTCCGAGACTCGAATCGTCCTTTTTTTTCGTCGTTTCTTTCTCTGCCCGTTGATCGATATGGACGTCGTCGTGACGTTGGGACGGTCGCAGCCTCTGGTTTCCGCTCAGCGGAGTCGCGGGCGGCCACGAGCACCGAGAGAGAACCGGACACGGTCGCGTCGCGTCGCGTCGCGTCGCGCGATCCTCCTCGAATTTTCTTATTTTTCAGCGAGGCGACTCGTTCGCCCACAGGGCTATTACAGAACCTACGGGCCGAACCTGAGCAGCCACGGCCGCGTACGTGTACGTGCGTACACGTGTACCTACACGGGTGGAAACAACCGCGTACCGGCGACCCGGTTTCCAGGAAGAGGCGGCACGAAAGGGGGAGACGAGACGAAACGAAAACGAAACGAAACGAAACGAAACGAAACGAAACGAGACGAGACGACGAGCGGAGGAGTCGAGAGGACGCGATGGAACGGGATGGAACGAAACCGAGAGAGAGAGAGAGAGAGAGAGAGAGAGAAGGAGGACCGAAGGCGCGTTTCGAGACGGTGACAGGGAGAAGAAGGAGCGGGAAACGCGGACCAACGACGATTAGATTAGAGAGAAGAGAGACCGCGCCGCGCCGCGTTCCTCAAGCCCTTGGCCTGGTGGATCGACCAGGATTCGCGGCCAGCCGAGGCCAATGGCGAAAAAGGGAAAGCGCAACGGCGAAAAACGGTTGCTCGGTCGAGGCAGCTCGAGCTTGACGGCTTGTAATTTCGTAGGATGCATTATTTTTAAATGGCGCGTGATTTAATGCGCGGCGCGAGGCCCGGTGATCGCGCGCCGCGCCGCTGGAGGAACGTCGATATGTAAATGCGTTAATGCTTAATGCGTGTCGGTTGATTTATCGTCGCGCGATCACGGCTACGCGAGTGAAAGGCGTTCTGCCTGCCACGCGGGGAACTCTGGCTCTGCCGTTTCGAGAAACGCGCAAATAATCGCCTCGACACGCTCGAGAAAAAGAGAAAAAAGAAAAAAAATATATACGTATATATATATATATATATATATATATATATATATATATATATATACACGTACACGAGTGTGTATTTCGTCGATCGTCCGAAATCGTCGCGGACGATTCAAGGACGAGTTGTACGTAGAGTCGAGAGACCGGCGCCGGCAAATGGCAGAGGGTGGTCTCACCCCGCGATGCTCGATCGCCGCTACACCACCCTCCAATTTTCCGATCGGCGCCACGCCTATCTCTACGTCGTTACTTAACGACACACCGATGCACCGATCGTATTTTATCCCACCGTCCCGAGCAGATAATCCAATCCCCCTCGTGCTGTCGCCTCGGAGAAGCCGAAATACTCGGCCCGAATCGAACGAAACGGCGAAAAGGTACCGGCCGATCCTCCGTCTCTCGCCGAGACAGCGTTTCCCAAATTGACAACAGACTCGCCAGACGTGACAGAGTGCGAATAATAGTCGAGCGACTAACGTTCCGTTGGAATTTTCTGGCGAAACAGCCAACGGTAAAGTGTCGTTGGAGGGAAAGTGTCGTTGCTACTGGGAACAAACTGGGATCGGTATTGTTTGGCCGTCGTCCGATCTTTTCGCGACATTAGTGCCACGATGAAACTGTTTTCGACCGGATGAAATCGCTGCCGCCGTACTTGTTCGACCTCGTCCATCACGGCGGTGAGTCTTGCGACGTGAGTTTTCGATCTCTGTCAAATCTTTGCCTTCGAGACGCTTCGTTCACTCCATTTTGAGTGACGGTGGTCGGAGACGCCTCTGTTGCACAGCGTGACTTGCCAACAAGAATACGGCCAACAAAAATACGGGTCAAATATTCTTTCGGGACACTACGTTTCATCAAAATTGGCGAGTTTGGGACGTTCGGTACGTTTCCACTTTGGTGCGTGCTATTTTGGTGCTGGCTGACTATATTTCACTGCCTTTCGTGGCCCTTCTACTCGACTTTCCTTCTGTCTGTCGCCGATCGCGTAATTGGTCACGTGGTAAGTCGTTTGCGACTAGTAACTCTCGCAATTACTTTACGGTACTAACGATAACTGCGTCCCTCTCGTTACGCTTATTGGTCACAGCAGTGGGACCAAGCCCAGAGAAACGCATCCCCGGCACGCAAAAGAACGCTGTCAGGCGTTCTGAATCCAAGGGGTGAAAGTGCGCTCGTAGCGCTCGGTTTCGTTTCCGATTCGCGTTTCCTCTTGATCGATCGAAAGTTTTAGTCGATTCGCGATTTCGTGGAGACGCTGCTCGTTCGTTTGAAACGCTCAGCGTGGTTCGCGACAACGGAGAAAGAGAGAGAGAGAGAGAGACGACACACGGCTTGAAATTGTCATTTTTGAATAGAATTCTGGAAGGCGAGTTGGACGGAGTAACGGTTTCGCCAATCTTCGAAATGGAAAAGTCGGGTGTCGGGGAAAACCGTTTCGGGCGGAAAAGAAAGAGTCCGGACGCGTGAAAAGAAAGAGGGCGCGATAGGGGTGAGCAGGGGGGAAGGACGATAGGGAGTTGTCGGTACGTTCGTAGTAGCGAAGTAGCAACGTGACGCGACTTGGCATGATCTATGGACGACGGGACGAGGCGGCGAGGGTGAGGGCACGGAGGGCCGAGGGACGAGGGACGAGGGACGAGGGACCGAGAGGTGTTTCAAAGAGCGAGGGGTTTCGGCTTCGGGGTCTCCTTGGATGCGAACTTCCGGCGTGGCGATAACCATCGCTCGCAGGGGTTCCTACCTGCGTTGCACGCTACGTCCGGTTTTCCGGTTGGGGGAGATCGGCAAGTGGCGCAAAATAGGCGCGTGCTCTGCTCGCTTTTCTCTCTGAAAAAAATCGCAACATATAATACCAACGAGCGTTCTTTTTCCTACGACGTACTCGCGGATGACACTGGTCGCGCGACCGAGTGGCCGAGGGTGTCGGAAAATTGCGAAAAACTGCGATATTCAGTGGGGGGACGGGGGGAGGGGAGATTGACGTGGGTACTGACCTATCGCGTAACCGCTTTGGCTAGTCGGCGGACAATGCGGATTTCCCGAGATATCAGAAAAAGTACGATCCCGTCGCGCGGACACGGTTTATCCGCGCTCGATCTGGTCGGACATCGTAGGGCTCGAGAAGGCGGCGGGTAGGTGGTAGGGACAAAGAGAAAGAGAAAGAGGAAGAGAAAAGTAGAGAGAGAGAGAGAGAGAGAGAGAGAGAGAGTCGGAGTAAAGTGGATTTTATGAAAATTGAAGTGGTGGAGCGCGATGCGCGGCAACCGGCGGCGGTCGTTCGACGCCCTTCGCGCTCGTGGGCGTCGAGACTCCGCCTCTGGGGAGCCGGTACGATACACCGCCTCGGACCGCCTCTCCATCTACCTTGGACGCGGACGCGCGCGCGTTCCTCGCTTGTGGTTCTCGCGTGGTCGCGTGCGTGCCGTTCGTTTCGCGATTTTCATCCCTACTATCGACGCGCGTTCACTCTCCTCGATTCTCGGTCTCGTTCACGTTCTCGGTGCGACGCGACATTTCGCCTACGCCGTTTCGTACACGGGTACACGCGCACAAAAACGGAGAAACTCGGTCTCTGTGACTGTGCGTCTCTTTCTCTCTCTTTCTCTTTCTCGGTGTGTCGACGGCGCCGGTCGACGACGTTTCCCCGGCGGTCGCGCTCTTCGGCTTGGCCGCCGCCCCCCCGTCCCCTCCACCACCCCGGGGCGGTCAGACCACGCCGCGGCCGCCGCCACCGCCGCCTGCTGCTTTCGCCTTTGCGTTGTTTTCTCGCGTTCACTCTCGCCTTTGCGATCTCCTTCGCCTTCGCCTTCGCCTTCGCCTTTGCCTTTGCCTTCGCCTTCGCGGCTCCGACCAAACCACCCCCTCCTCTTCGTCAACGCCAACGATCGCCGCGCCAAAGGTGACTGTCCAAGCGAGTGTCGAAGCCGCGCGCAGTCATCGGTCGCACCGCGTTCTGGAACTCTTTCGCTCCGGCTCGTTCAGACGCTCGTCAAGACGTTCCGCTGGCGCTTTCAGCGCGCGCTAGCTCTCGGCGAATGTGCGCGATCCCTCTCTCTCTCTCTCTCACACACACTCTCTCACTCTCTCTCTCTCTATACTCGTCAACGTGCTCTAGGCCTCGTGACTTTTACACGCCTCACAGCTCACGCTTACGGTAATCCTTCCAACCAGTGACTGACGATACACCAGGCGTGCTATACCTGTGCGCGTGAAACGTGCACCCGCACGATCGAACGTCCGATTCGTGCGACTTTGCTCGATTTTCCCCGACGACAGCGATGACAGCGAGCGCCGAGCGTGTTTCCGCTCGCGACGACTCGTCTCTGGGTGGTGGGCGCCGAGCCTAGGCTTCGAGAAAGTATTTCCAAGTCGGTAGTGCGGCACGCTAGTCGACCGTCGAGCAGTCGATGGTTTTGTTCGGCGACAACTGGACGAGTAGAACGATAACGTCGTCGTAATCGGCCAAGGATAAGAAAAACCGGAAACGGAAGCGGAAACGGAAGCAGAGAAGCGAAAACGTTTGTCCGACGCATCGACTCGACCTTGCCCTGGCCACGATATCATGTCAAACCTGGACGGCTAATTACGAGTGAGTACCCAACTATTGTGCCAATTATCCGGCGAATTTCTCTCTCTCTCTCTCTCTCTCTCTCTCTCTCTCTCTCTCTGTCTCTCTGTTCTCTGAAAGAGAACGTTGGTTTTTCGCCGCAATCGGTCGTAGCGATAACGACTGCGCGGGGGACGAGGTGGGGGCATGCTAGAATACGGGTCGTTATCTGCACGGTTGTTGGTCATCGGCGGTTAATTAGCGATAACGAGGATGGAGGTAGGTCGCGCGATTTTCCGCGTCGCGTGAAGTTTCGTTCGTCGAGAAAGGGAGAAGCGAACCGCTTCGTAATTCGGCGGGATTGTTTGTTTTGCCCCCTGGGAAGAAACGAAACTCGGAAGAAAGCAGAAAGGGAGAAGGGAAAATGGCAGGAGACGATAAGGACGCGACGGTGCGGCGTGGTGCCGCGTGGTTATCGCGATACATCGAAATATGCCGGCACCGCCATTCTTTCTCTCCCGACGGTTTTATGCTTGCCGACACGTACGTATACATACACGTACACACACGTACTTCCCGTCGAAAACTGCCCGAGCGCTAGAACTAGAGCGAGAGCCTCGCTTATCTCCAGCCGAATATGTAATTGCCGGTAATTCGGAACGCGAAACGAAGAAACTTTGCTCTCGAGATATCTACGACATCCCGAGTAGGAACGTCGCCACGCCAAGCGGATCACGCTTTCGGGAAAATTTCGATGCAATCGATCGCGCCAACCTGTCTACGAATTAACGGAAGCACAATCTCTGTTAACGCTACAACTGCGCTACGAATGGTCAATATTGCTCGATTTACGATTCCTGTTGGAAATTTCTAGCTAAGTTTCAATAATTTTTCGCAAAATGTGTAAATAAAAACTGGCACACCTCATTGTATTACAAAGTCTAGTTCTATTTTTATTTGACTTTAATGTGTCTCTGATGGAAATTTTTTAAAAACGTTTTAATCGCCGGTCGTTTTAATGTTAATAACGCTCTTGTCACGACCGTCAGTTGGCCAGCTTGTACTCTCTTTTCGAAATAGACTCGTATAGAATATCTAGAACGATATTTCACCGAGTACCAAGGTGATCGAAATAACTGATTCGAATAATCTTTTGTTATAGATACATTAATACGTAGTTTGTCGGATGCATTAATACGTTATATAGATTATTAATTTGTCAGATGTATTAATACGTTATACGGATATATTAATATAATTTGTTAGGTGTGAAACGGTGTATTTTTAGAGATTTAAATGATTTTTCGAAAAGTACGTAAATAAAAGCTTGTGAATTTTATTGTATTTTACAGTTTTCCTATTTTTTTTTCTTTCTTTCTTCAATATCTTTTTGAATTGATAAAAATTCTACGCTTTTTAAACACTCTTGTAACGAGAGAGGATCGAAATCCCCAAGATCGACCACTGTTATTCTATACTCTGATTTTTACACCTGCTCGAGAAATTTAAATACTTTACACGTATAAAACAGAGACGATCTATTATATAAAATCTTAAAAAAAATTTAACGAGATATTACACAATTAATTTATTACTCTCGAGCCCTTTTAGCGAAGCTTGAAAAAATAGTCTGCCTCTAACTTTGTTCTCGAGATGATATTCAAGCCTGGTGACTTGCCGATCAACGAAAACGTTTAACGCTAAAAGCGTACCAAGGACCAAAGCACAAGCTTTTCATCAGAGATATCAAAGTGAAAAAGAAATGGGAAAAAATTGTAAAACACAACAGAATACACAAGCTTTCTTTTATGTGCGTTTTATAAAAAAATCATTGCAATCTCCGAAAATATATTCAATATTGCCAACTGCAAATGTCCGCTTTTGATTAATTAATTTGATAATCAATTATCGCGTATTACTATGTTACACGGTTCGATTACATTCTGCCAATTATATTTTATATACTTTTAATTATATTTCCAACAGTTCATATAAAACATTAGTTATAACTACTATAATTTTCTTAAATTCAAAAGTCTTGGAAATAACAATCGCATCGACCACGTCAGATGTTTAGCCCATTCCCCTCGGCAAACTCTTTTTTTTTTTGCATCATCTACCAGTAATTTATTTACGAAGCATCGCTTCAAATAAAATGGTACAATAACACTGTAAAATAATCATTCGGTATTTAACAGGAAATTTTGTCGACCATGTCTTTCCAACGTGTGATATCGTTTAAATTTAAAGCAATCGTCAACGTGCACTACACAGGTTTGCTAGAACAAGTATAACGTACAAGAATCAATGGTTTCAATCTCTGGAAAACTAGAATATCCTCCGTCCAGCGTTCAACATTTGTAAGAAACGACAAGAGGTCTAGTTTATATACGAATTATGTGAGTTGACTCGGGACTGTCTTTAGAAATTCCCTCTTTTGAAATTCTTTTCTTCTTCTTACGTCGTTATGTTATAGCTTTCACATTGTTCGGACATTATACTAATTATACATCGCATCGTACAACACCAAACGTATATATTCGTTATAATTATCAGCAAATTATAAAAAGAGGAAGCTGTTGGCTAGACGGTTAAGTACAACGTCCCCTCGAAAAAGAACGGTTAAATGGTTCCTGGATTCAAGAGGAAAGATAGTCTCAGCGTAAGCTGAGTAGTTGAAGAATAAACTTGAAACGATCGCAACGATGCGAGGTGTTTCAACCTTTTGCGCTGAAATGACGTGCCACGCGCGTCGAGAATTTTTTGTCCCAAAATTGTAATATTTTCTCAGTTTTAAGTATTTAAGCAAAATAAAATAGACACAACAGATAATAAATGTATTATCTCTCAATAATTTCGATTCCGTGATATCGTACCGACGAGTTTAAAAAGAAAGCGACGAGTTATTGTATACGGTTTGGTCACTCGTTATGGTCGGCAATCAGTTGCCAGCGCTGGAATAACGTGCCACGCACGTCGAGAATTTTTTGTCCCAAAATTGAAATATTTTCTCAGTTTTAAGTATATTTAAGTACAACCCAGACAAAACAAATAATAAATTTATTACTTTTCAATAATATCGTACCGACGAGTTCAAAATGAAAGCGACGAGTTCGGTCACTCGTTATGGTCCGCAATCAATTGCCAGTGCAAGTGGTTAACCTCTTGCGCTGAAATGATGTGCCACGCACGTCTAGAATTGTTCCAAAATTGCAATATTTCCTCAGTTTTAAGTATATTTAAGTATAACCCAGGCAAAACAAATAATAAATTTATTACTTTTCAATAATATCGTACCAACGAGTTCAAAATGAAAGCGACGAGTTATTGTATACGGTTCGGTCACTCGTTATGGTCCGCAATCAATTGCCAGTGCAAGTGGTTAACCTCTTGCGCTGAAATGACGTGCCACGCACGTCGAGAATTGTCCCAAAATTGCAATATTTTCTCAGTTTTAAATATATTTAAATATAACCCAGGCAAAACAAATAATAAATTTATTACTTTTCAATAATATCGTATCGACGAGTTGAGAAAGGAAACCGACGAGTTATTGTATACGGTTCGGTCACTCGTTATGGTCCGCAATCAGTTGCCAGCGCTGGAATAACGTGCCACGCACGTCGAGAATTGTCCCAAAATTGCAATATTTCCTCAGTTTTAAGTATATTTAAGTATAACCCAGGCAAAACAAATAATAAATCTATTACTTTTCAATAATATCGTACCGACGAGTTCAAAAAGAAAGCGACGAGTTATTGTATACGGTTCGGTCACTCGTTATGGTCCGCAATCAGTTGCCAGCGGCAAGTGGTTAAATTATTTCGTCTAATCCGTGCGTGTACGCGGAGTTTGGGATCGCACTCGAGATCGAGAACAACACGGAGGTGGATGGATGGATGGATGGTTGGATGAATGGGTGACAAAGTAAAGGGACCGAAGAAGGTTTGAGTGGTTTTTCCAGGGATGTAACGGCGCCGGCGGCCCGGCTTCTCCCTACGAAAACGCTACGGGAATGCTACGAAGAACGCTCGTCCGGTTCTTAGGCCTAATTGGTTGTCGCCCGGCGCCTCGCCTTGTTCCTCGGAGAAAGCAGAAGAAGAAGACCTTTCTCGGCTCGTACCATACGGTTCCGTTTCGTTTCGTTTCTTTTTAAGCCCCAGCTACCCTTTCCACACTCTAGGCTATTAACCCCTCAACTACGTGTACGTGTACTACGTTGTTACGTTGTGACAGTATGATTAAAAACATTTCTTCACTTTACAATTTTATAGAACATTGTAGGAAGGCAATTGTAACAAGGCAAGACTTTTGACGTAGTTCCACTCGGCAGAACTTTTTGACGTAAAAGTGCTGCGATACTGACAATACTTTTGGTTTGTTACACTCATATATATGTATATTCTTCTTGATTTGTCTCTCTTTGGTCTCTGAACAAGAGTCGGCCTTAGGACAACTCATAAATGACAAATTCCTTCAATGTTGTTACCTTGTAAGGGTATAATTTAAAAATTTACACTTTGCAATTTTACAGAAATTTTTTTCATTCGACAATTCAACACGATTCAATACTTCCACCCTAGAACTTGTTGATGTAGAAATGAAAGTGACACTCGCTGCAATAATTTATATTATACTGACTATGGATTATTTTTGTTACGCTATAGGTATAACCTTTCCGATTTGTATGTGGCCAAAGTGGACCTTAGGACGACTCATGTATTACCAATGTCTAACAGTATTGTTAGAGGAATTAGTATGAATCAGTATAGTAGTATTATAGCCAGTACCGCGTATTAGTTAGTATTGCAGCTAGTATCAGCGGCATCTTTGGCGTACAATTTTTCAATTATAGTCTTACAACGCAACAACTTCTCGTGAGAAAAATCAACGCACAACAAGTACCACGGATACGATCGTATTGTTGAAATTGTACTGTGTTCGTGTTCCTCGTCCGTTTCGGCAACAACGTAGACCAACGTAAATCTTCGAGATATTGCCCCAACAGTTTCGTGCCGAATTTTTACTGGAAGCACGCGAAG